TTTTTTATATGGATTTGAATGATTGTTTTGAATTCTTAGAATTGTGTGCATTTGCAATGTACCTAAGTTAGTAGCGAGCGAAGCGATCTTGGTACGCGAAGCAAACCATATAAGATTGCGTAGCAATTTTCGGGGGTTGGCGAGCGTTAGCGAGCAGGGGGTGCAGCCCACTAGTATTTGTATATATTTTTTATTCTTTTTGAAATGGCTGTAGAAAATTTAAACATAAACGGTGATATGGTGCTACATACTGTCCCACCAATTATAGGTGACGGAGCTTATCTTTTCTGAGCATATATATTGTAGGATACTCAAGTTATGACTAGAGAAATCCGTGAAGAAGTAATACAGCACGTAAGGGAGCATTGCGATGAGTTTATCTTATCTCTTATTCCGATCTTATCTCACCACAGGTATGGAAAACAATTTATTATTTCTGCTGCCTTCTGTGTTGAAACGTGCAAAATTCATACTTATGATGGTTCGTGTGATTTAGACTGCCTGAGATTTTAAATTATTACCAAAATTCAATACATAGAGAACTTCGACAATGCATCTCTTGAAAACGGTTTAATTAGAAGTACTTTTAATCAAAGTACTTCTTTGCGTGCAAACAGTTAGTATATACAGACTTTAACAAAGAAAGACACATCAAAACAAGTTTGTTGCATTGCAGATCCTTTTGGTAGAAATAATTTATATGTTGCATAAAACGTATTGGTTAATAACAATATAGGATTATTACCTCTCAGAAAGTATTAATTCAGAGATTATATCAATATACTTGTAATCCTATGAGAAAAAAACTTTAAAATAAAAAAGCACTCTAAAAGATTCTAATTAGAAATCTGAAAATAGAGATACACAATGTTGGTTCTACATTCTCATGCTGAATTATGCAGTAAGCTCCACCTTTTATTTACAACTTGACACAAATGCCCTGCAAGAACTCTTTTTTTTTTAGATAAAATATTGAAGTTCAGGCAATACATCAGATTTTTCATTCAAGTGTATCGAAATGAAACGACCCACCCCCTTTAAATAGGACATAGCTGTGTCGGAGGCCAAACTATGTCAGTCAGGCTTTCTTATTTTACAAAATATGACCTTAAAGTATCATGCTTTTAATATTGGTGTCTATGCGTTTTAAAGATTTTGGACGCCGTCTCCAATACTGCCCAATACAATATTCATAAAGCTTTCCAGTTAACTGCTACCGAATTTATTTAAAATTTAAAAGTTTTTGATGGCATTTCCATGCATTCAGACAAAGACACCATATAAATAGCCGTTTATAACGAAATAGTTTGGTGAAATATTTATGGGCGATTTATAAATCAGCACTTCTTAATCTTTCATGTCATACTTATGAGAAAAACGAACACAATAAAAGGATTTTTTATACATCAAACTTTCGTTACCTGTTCTAGCAAGAGTACTTTTTTACCGAGCAGTGCAAGATGGTATGCTGTCCAAGAACCGACAATACCAGCCCCGATAACAACATGATCGTATTCGGACATGGTGACCGCAACGTTTTAAATCAGAAACCTAAATGTTTAAGTAAAAGGTTTCATTAGTTTTGCTTAAGTGTGAGAATTCAATCAAAAAACAATTGACAGCTTAATAAGTTTTTTAAAAAAAAACTTTATCTTTTTTTTTCATCAGAAATGATTAGAGGTCTGTCTATGAATAAAATAGTAAAGATTGTTAAAAAAAGGGATAAAAAACAGCAACAATGGAACAGTACTAAATCTTAGTATTTTCAGAACATGTAGTTATATTAATCTTTAAGATCAGGGGACGAAAATGTGATAATGCATTTTGAGATAATAATTTTTCCAATTATCTAGGTACTATCTCCAATTGTTATTCTCGAAAAAGTTCAGAAATAAAATGTTTAATTTCACTCTTGTCATAAAAATTAGCACATTTACTGCTTCTTCAGTCAAATTTCGAGACAAATTCGTTTTCGTGAAAGATGCTATTGAATAAAACTAACTGGTACTTACGCTGAATGGAGATGAAAACCACTAAAACATGTCATGAATGTCATTAAATGGCAATATCAATCTAATTTGCAAGTTATATTTTGTATAAACGTTAAGATCGATAGAGGCTGGAAGATACAATTAGCTATCACTGCAACTTGAAGCTGAAACACTTATATAGTTTGTCTCAAGTAAGAAATCCCCTAGCCATTCGTCTTGACCCGTGGCGGTGACTATGGTAACGAGGTATAACTACTTCAAGTAAGGATGTGGGATCACTGTTTAGGACAAGTTTTGGCTCGGGGATGCTAGAGAAAGGTAATCTTTGTGTTAGCTATAAAGTGAAGAGAAGCTACCCTTCCAGAAATGTGATATTCTTGTTTCCATAACAGCAAACGGCCTCAGACATTGTGGTGGGGGTAGAGTTCTTACCGTAGACAAACTATAGAGAGCTCTATTCACTAATAAACCCTATCCTTAAATAGTTCTTTTTTTATTGCGTATACATAATCAGCGTTGAGCAGTTGCTCTGTGCCTAATTTGCTGTTACCAACATTCAACTTCACACCCTAGCAGTTTTAAAGTCAACCCAAAATACGAGGGAACTCTTGCATCCAGTATTGAGAAAATATTATCCTTGTAGACCATGAAACCATATCGAAGGTAGCCCGACGACACTACTTATATTGGCTCTACCAAACAATATCTATAGCTGAGGTTATTTTACATAAGCACCGAAAAAAGCGAAAAGTGGGAACATTATATAGTGGAAATCGACAATCGAAAAAATGGCAATCGAAATCGACAAGTTAGGGTAGATATTCGAACATGTGTCATCTCTCAGAAAAGCAACCACTTTTCAGCCCAAAGCCATATACCCACTCAGAAAAATGAGATTGCTTTAAGATATATTGAGGGATATTAAGGACGAGTGAATAATATTAACTTTCATTACTTGAGTATGATTCCACAAACTATAGAACCCTTAACTTATATGATTCGGTCAATTTATTTAAAATTTAAATAGTAAAAAATTTATGTACACCAATATACAGACTAAACAAGTGCTGTTTATTGCTTTTTTTTATGTCTGTGATTAAGGAATCTTGCAATTAATATTTAGACCACATTCCTACAAGCTAGAGCACTGAGATCTCCATTGGAGCTCAGCGTCTGATGACAATGCAAATATTTCAATTTTTTTTTACCACTACATATAGAATTTATCATTTTATAGCCAAATAGAATTTATTACTTTACGACTAGCTAGTGTTCTTGAATTTCAACTGGATTCTAAGCTGAATGACGAAGCATATTGCAATCGTTTCCTGACAGCTGCAAATAGAATTCATAGTCGTATATTTGGGCCCTGATTACAATACAAATTGAAATTTTTTTTTCAAGCATAATTTATCATGAATCAAAATTTTGACCTTCTGCCGATATACTAACAAACAAACACAAAACTAAAAGGGAAGAAAATAATAAAATTAAATTAAAATTTAAAAAAGTAGATTAAAAGTAGATAAAACTGGAGAAAGCAGTTATATTTTTGCCAAGTCTAAATTGAAAAACTTAAGATGCATTACTTTCGGAAACTTATATCACCACCGAAAATCCTCCACATTTTTCGAATTTTCTCCTTTTTTATATGCTTTGTATATATAAATTTTAAAAAGAATTTTTTTTATATAAATAATTTTTTTTAAATAATGTTTTTAAAAAGTATTTTTTTAATAATTTCACCTACCCCGAATAATTTAACATCATAAAAAGTTTTATTTAAAACTGCATACATTATTTAAATAACTCTACTGACCCTCTGAGAAACATCAAACTTTGTAAATCTATACAATATTAAAACTAACTTTAGATCTCAGACTATATCACATTTATGTGTAAATCCATTGTAACATATATCGTAACTTTCGTATATACTTTCGGAAACTTAAATCACCACCGAAAATCTCCCACATTTTTCGAATTTTCTCCTTTTTAATAGGCTTCGTATATTTAGTTATAAAAAATAATTTTCTTAAAAATAATTTTTTTTCAAATTTTACTTACCCCGAGTAATTTAATTTCATAAAAAGAAGTATTTAAAAATGCATACATTATTTTAATAACTCTACTCACCTTCTGAGAAAGATCCAACTGTGTAAATCTGTACAATATAAAAGCTAGCATTAGATCTTAGACTGCATCTGTCTATTGGTTTGTCGTGGGCTAAAAGTAAATAATGCTGTTGATCTGACAGTGGCCATAAATTAGACATCTCTTATCAGTTTTTATAATGCTTACAAACTCGGTAGATGCGGAAATGAAATAATAAAAGAGTAAAATGTGTCACTAAAATTTTTGGCTCTAAGCCCACGTCTGTTTATTAAATACGCACCAACAGGGCAAATATTTTTATAATGATTTTTTCAAATATTTGTCATGAACTAAAGATGAATTAAGTGAGAAAGTTTTATTTTCAATAGCGATTGATTTTCATTTTTCGTTAAATGTCTCTGTAGATAAAAATTTATTTTCCCCTTTTTAATAAACTTGAAAACTTCTTTTAAAAAAATTATTTCAATTATTATTTTCTCCTTTTTAGATTTATGTTTGTTAATGCTACTTTGCTCATATCAGAAAGTTGTCGAATAAGTAATGAATACTGTGTGCGTCGTTTTGGAAATTGTTTTAAATTGCATTTGCATCAAGAGCTTCATTTGAAATTTGAGCCCTCTAGCAAGTTGGAAAGAGGTGGAAGTTTTGATTAATAATAATTTCAATTTGTTGATTTTATGTCAATATCTTTTCCGTGAGCTGCAGCGGCCAAGGGGATAGAGAGTTCGTCTTCCAATGAGGTGAACCGGGTTCGAATCCCAGTGATGACGTGTGAAATATCCTCATATATATATATATATATATATACCTGAAAACTCTTCAATAGATATACCTTCCCTCTGTTATGCAGATAGAGAGGGATATTAAATCCACTGAACACGATTACAGAAAAACGACGCTGAAGTGAGTTGTAAATCCGGATTAAAAAAAATAAGGAGAAAAAAATACTACCTTGCGCTTTTCCCCTCATAGTTGTGATTTTAATTTTCTCTTCATCTTAATTGCGGCTTATCTGGAAATATAAATCCACGCTCGAAGAATAATTTCGTCAAAATTAATTTCAGTGATGCTTCAATAAATGTATGTANAACTATTGATATATATATATATATCCAAATATAATTAAGAAGACACATAATATTCATTCATAATGTTTATTACGTTCGTCGAAAAATCTGGATATTTAATATTAAAAAAAATCTCAATTTAACTTCGTTTTTTTACAAAAAATAACATACATCTTTCTATTTGCTTGAAAGTAACAATCATTTATTCGAATTTAAGGCTTTTGTAATCATGTCTCATTAATCACTTTCTTTCATCAAAACGAGAAAGACTGTAGCGGGAAATGTCCAAAAAAGGTTCTTGTCCTGTTGCCATTTCGCACAATATTCTACCCACAACTGGAGCTGTTTTAAATCCTGTTCCTAAAAATAGAAAAAAGAATTTTATTTATTCCAACTTTTAACGAAAAATATTAATTCACATTTTTTCTTTCAATTTTTTTGCAACTCTTAGTCGTTATGTGAGACAAAAATGAGCATATCTAAATTCTACGACAAATTGTTACAATAGAGCTTTTTTTATGTACGTTTGTGTTTCAAATAATAAAGTAAAAATATGGCTTAAACAGGACATCAAAAAAAAATAATAATAATAATTACTAAGTGAAAAACAGTTATATACCTCCTCAAAGTAAATGGTGAAAAATTGAACAAACTTATGTCTCTGGTTTTGGTGGGAATAAGAAAGTTTATATAGTTTGTTCATTGAGAGAACTCCCCATACCACTAGTTGTCAGGTCATCTGTTGCTATGGAAAGAAAAAATAGCACATTTCAAAGCGTGGAGCTTCTCTTTCTCATGATTCGCTTTCTCTTGTCGATCCAAAACAAAACCTGACTTAAATATAGATCCAATACCTCTACTTGAAATATTATAAATCTCGTAACCATAGTCACCATTAATGTTCCAAACAAATGGCGAGGGGAGTTATTTACATAGACAGACAATAAATGGGAAGAGATTTAAACCAAAGTATTTTCTTAATCAGAAGTGAATAAGTACGAGACTATAAGGATAATAGTTTAGCCACACCAAACACCAACATGCGAGCTCTTGCAGCATTTTACCTTAATTATTTTGCCTATCATATTTTTGGAGATATTCAAATTTCTTCAATTTCTTAACCAATAATTTTCCTTTATCGACTTTAATATGAAAAATATACATTAAACTCTATGCATTGTTTAGCTATTACATTTTTGCCCTCTTATTATACACGCATCACAGTTTAATTATTTTCTAACTAACAATCTAAGAATATTGAATCTACAACACAACTAACCTGAAAATCCTGTACCAAATATAATATTCTCGTGACTGGGCACTTTGTCAATAAGGAAAATTTCGTCCGGTGTCAACTGAAAAAATAAATTTTAATTTCAGTTTTAATTTTAATACCTAAGTGTAGATTTCTCTATCTCAATGCTCGACACTTAGTGATAACGTTTTCCTTGAAATAAATTTTCGCTCCCCAATGTCAAAAAAAAAGAAGAAGAAGAAGATATAATTGTAGAGGAAACGGATATCTTTCAGAAAAATCACAATAAAATAGGTACAAAGCATCACTGTAAAATCAAGGCTTAAATTCTCACTAGCAAACCCATACAAAGACATAGTAGAACAACACAAGAAAATTGGATGTGCGTACTTGGTATTACAAGAAAAGACCGAAAACTAGTCCTGAAACAAAATCTTCAATATCATTGAGAATATTATAGTTCATATATAGTTCAAAGAGGTAATGTGCTGGCCATACAGCTCGAAAAGTTGACATTGCAGCGACAGCGTGGATTGTTATACTCGTGACATGGAACAATCAAGAGCATGGTGCTCTAATGATTTCAGTAAATCACCATATGTGAATTGGGCGACAAGGGAAGCAGAACGAAATGATTTGAGATCTTTTATTCAGAAGAGAGGGTAATACTCGAAAATAATAATGGTTATATACTCATAGGTTGGAGTGAAATTAGTCTTATTTTGTTAATTTCGGCATTTGCAAACAAAGGGCCAATAATTTACTTAGACTGCAAAAGTTGTGTTTTTATATTATTTGGAAAGAAAAAAATTATTTTTCCAAAATGATATCTTCTTTCACCATGAGGATCATCAAACATTGAATTTTGAGCTATAATGGCGCAAGGGATGGAGCATTCGCCGTCCAGTGAGTGGAACCAGATTCGAATCCCAGCAATGGCTGGTCGATTCGAATTTTGCACCTGGCTCGCATCGACTATAGAGCTGACGAGAAATATTCTCAATGAATCATGGGTTAGAGTACCTTTGCCGTTAGGTCAATCGTGGGATGTTTTCGTGATTTTCCTCTCCATGTAACGCAAATGCGGGTTAGTTCCGTCAAAAGATCCTCCACGAAGGCAAATTTCTCTCAATACTTGATCCAGAATTTCCCTTGTCTTCTGAATTGGGTTCAAAATTACAATTCTACGGAGTTGAACAATAGTAGTCGTAAATCCAAAGAATTGCGTCGGCTGTTCAACGACGGTTTTAAAAAAAAATTGAATTTTTAAAAATACGATCACCTTCGTGACAGAAGAAGTCATTTTAAATATTTTTTTTTTTTTTTTTGCTGTTCAGTGGCGGTTATAAAATAGAATAAAAGTTCTTGAAGGTCACTGATTGATCGGATGTAAGAACTGCCCATGAGCATTGTTTATAGTCAACATTATAAAATCATTCTCTCTTGAATTCAAAATTGTAAAATAAATTCAAATAAAATCATAATAATAACAGAAATAGACTCTAACAAATTAATTTATTTGGATTAAAATATATGAAAGCGGACAGCAAAATGACATCAGATACTTGCTTGCTGATGTCACTAAACTTCAGAAACTGATTGGTTAAGGGTAGAAAAACTTGGTTGGGAAGTAGAACATGCTCTACTACTATCCAAGAACTACGACCAAGAGCTTGGGTGATCTTTTGCACCATCCAAGCAAAACAAGTTTCCATCAATTTCAATCAATATTGGTCCAAGAATTTGGACCGTATAAACTGGCCTTTAGATTTGGAACTAAGTCACTGAATATATTTATGTTTTGCAATAAGCTCGGTTAACAGTTAACTTCGCTACATCTCAAAATGAAAAGATGACTAGTTACCCATCGAAGGAATTAGAGAAAGGGAGTGTTAGACTCTTTTACTGGGTTTAAAATCATACTACGATCGGCTATAATAGTGCATTACTATATTTCGCCATAGGTCTAAAATGAAGTGGTTTTTAATAGATATTGCTCAACACTTACCGAATACATACATGTCTCAATAATAGACGGTTCATTTTCTAACTGCGGAAAATGTTCAGCTACATGATTCTTTAAAGTTTGTTCATATGCTGGGTTTATAGATGCTTGATCTCTTTTGTCTGGATCACAATCAACCCCACCATGAATTCCAACCTAAGGAAAGAAAATCACTATGGTCTAAAAAAAGAACATTGGCACGTTATTTTTCGTATTTAAAGAAAACGTTAAAAAGAATAGTATACTTTCACTAAGCCGGGATATTCTATACTTGGCAGTGCAAACAAACTATTGCCAGATGGTTCGATAACTACGGGAAATCCTGATTCTGGGCTGTGAACTCCAAACTCTTTTTCCTTCCAATAATACACTTTAACTGCTGATGCCTAGATGGAAGCAGGACAAACAATGCAAATAAAAAGAAAACTGATATGTAATATTATTTCTTTAATAAAATAGCTATAAATATTGTAGTGGTTTTAGAGTTCGCTGTTGTGAAAGATATTACATAAAAATAATGCACATAATGCAAACAAAATAGCGCATTCGGTTAAAGTTATTACTCATCACCATGAATCGGTTTCTAACGAATTCTTTATCAAACAATTTCCTCATTGATAATTTGCCATTCAGTTTGATTTCGCTGCAATTTATAATAAATTATATACTGTTGAAAATATTTATAGATTGGCTATTGTTATAGAGTTGCTTAAATCACAAATCGATTAAATTTGCCCCATATTAACCCACTTTTCATTCACGTTGGAGCATATTATAAATGTGCAAGGGTGCAAAAATGGCTTAGATAAATTATTCAACTAGGCGCCAACTAAATTTTCTACATATATGCAAAAGATTTTTTTATGAATCCATTTCACACTAACATTTTTAAACATATGCTATGAAACTAAAATGTAAAAAAATTCCAAATAAATTTTTGTATTACTTGTAAAGGAAGGTATGGCACTAAGTTTGGCTCGAGTAGCTTCTTTGTCCAAGCACCTGAGCATAAAATTACAGACGGAGTAACAATCTGTCCTTTTCTTGTGATTATTTCTACTTCATTACCTTCAGGCTTAATGCTTGTTACTGGGCAATTGCTCCAAAATTGACCGCCTTTTTTCCGAAATAGTTCCTAAAGGAAATTCCAACTACATTAAAATGTGTTCTACAAACTTGGATTTTAGAAGAAAATTTACAACCTTGTATAAATTTTTATCGTTGTTACTTAGCAATGCTCAATTGTCATCTAGCACTGATTTCTAGTTAAAATTTAAGGGCTCTTGCTCGAGGAAAAATAATCGAAACTTTGACTTCAAGATTCTATCTTTACGGGCACAAATCGAGTAAGTCAATTCGTAGTAACAAAAAATAAATAAATAAAGTTAACTATCGGTTAGCCGAGCGATTTTCTAATCCAGCGGACTTTGACGACCCACTCTTCTGTTTATCATTCTCCAGAATTAAGAAAAAAAATTATTATTGACTTTTTTTTCTTTTTTTTTTTGTTCAGGTAGCAATATTTTAAAGAAATAAAATCTTGCATTATAATTACAACTAACTACAGTCAAGAGGAAAAATCTCTGAAAAATGCCCCTAAATGCCTCTGGATTGTAAATTAGCTAACTTCCACCAACTTTTTAAAAAAAAATTTTGTTTTATTTATTTTTTAAACACAAAAAAATTAAATTAAATAAAAAAATGATCATAAGAATTTAAATTTCTTTGCTCTCGGTCAACCGAAAATTATCAAAATATTAATAACAAGCAAATTCGGTAATTATTTTATACTCGGTAACTTATTTTTTTAGTTAGTACAGATTTAATTTTCACCGACCAATAATTTTAGCAAAAATTATTTTTAACAAATATATCCATAAATGCCTGACACTTCTTTTTCATCATGAAAACGCGTGTCAGTAACCAAACAATGTTCAGCAATATAAGATAGTCGGTTTAAAATTGACCAGACATAATTCCAAATACCAAGCCATTATCGATCCATCATGAAAGAAATATTATCGATGAAATTTAACTATATTTTTCGAATGAAATGCCACTGTCGCATTATCATTGTTAATTTCCCACACAATTAACGGTATTAATACAACAATGCCATATTATCTAGGCCCTATTCCACATAATTATAGTGCCATCATATTAAAAACTCTACAGATCAAATTTAACGAGGATTTTTTCAAATGACGGCAATGATATTAACGAACAGTGGCATTTCTAATAAAAATAGAATGTGCATAGTAACATGTTCCTTATCATATCCGTCCTATTATAAGATAGAAACACTAAGGATGAAATTTAACTATTATTTTCTACAAGACTGCAACGATTACAATAATGCAATTTCTGAAAAACCGCAAAAGACCTTTTTATCAAATATGGTTTTGAAAAGAAAAAAAATCATGCATAATAACTTATTCTAGATCATTGTTACCCCGTCATAGCAGAAACTCGTTAGATGAAATTTAATAATGACTAACAATGTTAAATTTTTAGATGTTACAACGATTTACAATGATAGATGAAATTTAATAGTGATTAACAATGTTAGATGAATTTTAACAATGATTAAAAATTTTACTGTAACAATGTTGAATGAAATAACAATGATTAACAATGTTATTGCAACAATGTTAGATGAAATTTAACAGTGATCAACAAAGTTATTGTAACAATGTTAGATGAAAATTAACATTGATTTACAACGTAACAATGTCAAATGAAATATAGCAATGATATGACAAGATAAACAATTTCTAATCAATCAATTGAAAAGATTCGAAAGGTTTTATTAAAAATGCATCTAATAGGAACTAATTTTTCTCTCATTCAGTAGAATTTGCTACAAAAACACTTAGAATCAAATTAAATTTTAGGTAAAACAATAAAAATCCTGAAATTTGCATAAGTCCCGCGAGAAATAAGTTTACTCTATTATTCATGTGTAAACATTCATTGGGTTGTAAGCCAAAAGCGTATAATTGAAATTAATTTCAACATACTATACCTGAATCGTTAGAACAGATCTATGGGCTAATAACACACCACCTTTTTTATCAAATATCACAGCGTGAGGTTTCTTCGTATAACTTAAAACTCTACCAAACAGCTCTTCTTTTGTATCTTCTAGATCTAAGCAATCTGGGTTGTAAGTTCTCATATTAGATAACCATGCATTGTAGAGGTCGTGGTCAGCTGGGGATTGGAATATGCTCAGAACTCCACAGTTTCTGTAAACGCAAGACATCAGTCATCACAGCATAATTAATATTTAGGATAAAAACTACCCAAATAATTTATAATGATCTACCATTCAAATATTTTTGTTACATTGATCACTTATCTTCATGTAAAATAAATTAGTTGACCTAAATTTAACACAATGATGGAAATTCTGTTACTAGATTTTTTTTCTTTCTAGAATCTATTTGTATTTGATTACCATTCGGAACTCTTTCCAGTACATAAGACGTTCCGCAATCATCATTTAACATATGTATTTTTATTTTATTTTTAATTCTTGCCAACAATCAAGAAAAAAAGTATTCACATTAAGGATTGCAAACCAAAATTTAAGTTAAAGGAAAAAATGCTATCAATATTTACTGATTCACCATCGAGGAAGGCGGAAAAAAACACACCAGAATAAGTTCGATTACCAATCAGCTTTATAGTCACCTTTCATTGCCTTTTACTTTTTCTTATTTAAGTATTATTTTGCAACTCATGAAAGGCAGTTTTTTTCCACAACGATTTTAAAAACATACATTAACTGTATTACAATACTTTATGCATTTATAGTTGTCATTTTCTTTTTTGCCAATTTTGTAATCCTACGTGAGATTTTTTCTTCTTTACCTATTAGTGAATAGACTAAAATAGACGATTTTTCTGACAATTTATAAAATAAATCTATTAACAAAAAGGAGGAAAATAATTATTTTTTATATCTTAAACGAATCATTTAAAATTTAAAAAAAAAGAACTAAGCATTTAACAGAATTGGTCATTCAAATTTACACATCCAGTGGTCAAGAAATTTTGTGATATAATCAACAATAAAACTGATTTTAGAGCTTTCAATCTTATCTTTACAGTAATTGAGCTTGATAATTATTCGTCAAATTTAATTCACGTTATTGTTATGTTTTTTTCCACAATTAATTCCTAACTTTCACATCGTGTATAAATATTGTTAATTATATTCTTGATAAAATGCCTAAAGTACGTAGATTAAAAGCTTGGTGGACGTGTGTTTATGAACACACTATGCATTACTAAGAATTCATACTTTAAAAAAAAATTATTATTAAAAATAGGTTTTCTTTTTTTAATTAGGAAGTAATTAATCATATAAATAAAATCATATTTTCATATTATCTTACTTCCCTGATTGGAGGTATGAACCACTAGAAACTCAATTTCAAAAAGAAAATACTATACTTAATACTTACACTATAAGGTTTTTTCCTGAGTCTTCTTCTGCTTTTTTCCACATTTCGAACGCGTAAGGCATCATTTCTGCAAAGAAATCCTCCTTATAACCACATCGAATAATACGACTCTCCCCTTGAGAACTTCCTCGAGAATGAGATTCCATAAACTAATTAAACAAAAAAAGAAAGCAAATTTGCATTAAAAAAATTTTTATGATTTGAATTATTCTACGTCAGGGGTGGCGAACCTTTATGCACCAGCGTGCCATTTTTTCTAAAAAATTGTTTAATGAGGCTATAGACGTGCCGTCAAATAATTTTGACTTCGTGATTATTGGGAAAATAATAATACTAAATACTATCAACTCAAAACTCTTTATATACTATAAAACATAATACATTTTGCAATGTCTCAGTTATATGCGTAATTCAACTTAAAGTAACATCAGTGTGACTTCTGTTGTTGCAGATTAGATGACAAATAACTTATATTAGGTTGTAAGATGTTAGTTCAAGCATTACTGTTAATTTTTTGCTAGTTATTTATTGTTAGCTTTTCTTTTATGCTTATTAATTGTTTTCTGGCATTAATTGTTAATTATTTGTTTTAAAATTGTTTATTTTTTGTTTGTTTACTGTGAATTTTAATTTAATTGTTAATATGCTTCATAGTGAACTTTGTGATGGGTGGCGTGCTGAAAATATTGTGTCGCGTGCCATTTAGGGCACGCGTGCCATTGGTTCGCCATCCCTGTTCTACGTATTACATTATTCTACGTACTTTCCCGGTTCTCGGTCCCATATTTTATTCAAATAATACGCTGTTAATACCATTTCTTAAACATCAATTCATGGCAATGACCATCACTAAGGAATGCTAATATAGCTAGGAGAGGCATTGATTTAAATATCGATATATTTAAAATCGAAATTTGTCATTTAACAAATTTTAAAAGAAATAAAAACTTTTATTGTAATTGCGACCAATTACAGCCAAGATAAAAATTTACCCCCCCCCCCCAAAAAAAAAAAAACATCAAACAAGTATTTAAAAGCTGCTGTATTGCAAATTAGTACCCGGGGCAAACTCCTTGATGAGAAGTTATGTTCGATACCCTTGAAAAGAGGAGTGAAATTATCGTACAGGATAAAAATTCAATTTAATTTTAAATAAACTTATAAGTTCATAATTATTTTAACTTGTAAATAATATTTTAACTTTTAATTATTAACTTATAATTATTTTCAATAAATTTTAACTAAAGTAAAACTTTTTAATTTTAAAGAAACTTTTTTAAATAAAATTTTATTGAGCAAACAGTACATTTTTAAAAAATTTTGTGTGTAAGAAAAAATATAGAGATCATTTTATGTTGAAATATAGATCATTTGATCAAAAAAACATCAAGACTACAGGATACAAAAAAGAAGAAATTAATTACTTAAATAACAATTAGCTTTGATTGGGAAAGAAAATATTTTTTAGTAAGCAAAAAAGCGGTATGTGATTCTACTAAACAAGAAATAAATCAAAAAATAAATGTGTAAATATTACGCCATAGCTAATAAAAATTTTGATAATTATTTAATGCAATCGATTAGCACAGCATAGCGGGAAAAGAGAGGAAATATATAATCGATATACATAGTCGAAATATATCTAAATTAATTATGCATTGATCCGTAAAGGATTTATGGGCAAAACACAATCATCTTTTCGAAAAATAAAAATATAGTTAAATAATTTATATTATGTTAAGAAGATATAGATATTATAAAAGTAAGGAACTGACGAAGATATACTAAATACATTAAACAGAGCCCAAAGTAGTTACGCTATACACTATAAATTCTGGAGGAAAAAAAACAATAAGTTCAATAAAAATTTGAATTTTGAACAATAATGCTAAATCTGTAATACTATATGGATCTGAGACATGGCATTGCAATAAAAATAACATGAAGAAAAAAAAAAGCAAAACAGAAACCGATAGATATGGAATTTAACAAACGTAACTAGAAATGGATTGGTCATGTTCTACGTAAACATGAAAAATTTAAAGTAAAAACAAGTTTTTGATAGGAACCCTCAGGGCAATAGAAAAAGAGGAAGACCCAAAAATACTTGACGCAGGACGACTGTAAACAAATTGAAAACTATAGGAAAGATATGGAGAGAGGCAAAATATTAGGCCACAAATAGAGTGAGATGGAAAGCTATGATAAAAACCACGTGCTCCAATTCGGAGTAAAGTAGAATATGTATATGCAGGTATGTGTGCATTATAAAAGTAAAATAATAATTTTAATACAATTTATGTCTAAAATTTTCACTTTTCCGCCAATTTGAAGTTTCTCCCTACAAAAATTCAAAAGCTGCCGGGGGAAAAAACAATAAACTAATTAATATTTAATGAAAAAAATACAAGAATAATTTTTTAAATAAATTATTCGCGCTTATAATCCCTCGGATCTTGAAATAATTCTACAATTTAGTTTTTTAATCCTTCACTTTTTCGTTTCTATGCCAAGAGCACAGATTAGCATTTTTCAGTTGGTGCTGCCATCTTTTGATTATTGGTGTAACCAGTTCACAAAAGTAACAAGGAATGAAAGTAGGAATTGAATTTGAAAGAAAAACTGCTAATTCTACAAAATAACTAAATAGCACAAAAGTATTTTAACAAATTACTTGTAAAAAATTTCATTTTAAGTAAAAAATATACGAACAGAACATTTATAGATTTTTCATGAATTTATATTTTATTGCTATTGCAATGCAAATTCATGAAGTTCATCGTCCTAAATCATAATCAACTAAAAATTCCATTAAGGCTGTTTTTCGATTTTCGAAGGCTCTTCGCTCTTTCGTTCGACCTATGAAATGACGAATGAGTTTTAACTGTTACTAATACGTTAAGTTAGTAACAGTTACGTTAGTTTTTAAATGTTGCTTTCATGCTTTATATCATAGATATAGAAGATTTAGTCCCCTATATCAATCCCCTGATTTACCCATAACCAATAAACTGCACCCATAGTTAAGCTTTGCGCATCGTTAGCCAGAGCTAAGCCTCCCCCTACCCAAAGCTAATAAAAAAAATGGCTTCAAATTTCAACTTGTAGAAAATCAACATATTTTTGCTAATAAATTAAAAATAATTTGTGATTATATTATTCCTTTATTGTAATAGTTTTCATCTAGTTGAAAAAATTCTAATTTTAAAACGCTAAATAACTTTTTTAGATATTGCTTGTTTAAATTATTTTTTTTATCTGCACCAAAAATTAAAGACCGAATTTGCGTATAAGCTAGATAGGCTGCAACTTAGTACTGCAACTTAAACCCCCCCCCCTTAAATTAAAATATCTTTTTTTTTTAAACAAAGCTAAAAGCTAAGTACTTATATATATATATAGTCAAACCAAGTAATGTAATCAAATTCTTTATTAAATAAGACAATTTCATGTTTTATTATTACTCGGTGTATTAAAAATGGTGTGGAACACATAAGGGCTCCACTACCATCAATAGCTTAGGCCCCACTACCATCAATAGCTTAGGCCCCACTACATCCCTCCCTTGTATCCGGCCCTGACTAAAGTGTACTAAAATTGTGGCTTTTTAGTTTTTCTCGGCGAAAGTCGTAAGAATTATAACAGTAAATAACCTACACTCACGGATAATTTTCATTTAAAATTTGCTTTTAGAATTCGTAAACTAACGTATGATGATGGAAGCTACTTTAAATGAAAAACTCAGAATACAGAAAATATCAGATACGAGATACTACAACCAAAACCTCTCATATCCGTTGGCAACCGAATTTTAATTTCTTATGAATTTTAATACTCGTCAATTGAGTTAGATGTATGTTAGGATTCAACAGTACAAAAGGCATGAATCCGATGATACTAACTACGAATGACTCGAATGAGTGAGTAACTATGATGCTATGTTTCAGTCCGACTCAGTCTTGAAGAAGATCAGTGGGGCGTAATCTTTTCATCCTTGCAAACCCTTTCTAAAATCTGAAAGAAATTGACGAACTCCTACAATAATCTCATACTAACAGGCATGAAAAGAATAAAAAATTTTAGAAAATTCTGCTTGTTTTGTTGCACAATAGTGAATAACAAACAAAAAAATCATTGTCGTAAAACATTTCAATACAATTGTAAAGTTATAACGATAGATGGAAAAATGATTACAAAATTAATTCAAAAGCCAACATTTTCTCAATTAAGCATACCGTCATGTGGGGCTACATTGTGCAGCGGGGGCTACTTCGTGCAAATTCGAATTTGGCACTTTTCAAGTGCTGCTATTCANGGTAGTCTTGTTCAGATCACGTCCGGGTCACCAATGTGGGGTGAGTGTCGTTGACGATGTCAACCTTCATCTATGAAAAGTTACCCAATAGAATTGAGTTAATATGTCTTATATATTAGTGAATAGGAATTGAATAATTGTAGTGGTAGCTACGCTACAATTTAGAAAAATAAAGTTTTATAAATAGTTTATCAAAAGATACTAGTAAAAATTCCTTTAGTCAAAATTCATTTAATTTAATCATTCACTTTGATGCTAAATTAATAAGCAATTAACGAAAATGCAATTGCAATGCTGTATCACAAAAAAAAAAAAAAAAAAAAAAAATATTTGAAATATAATACTGCAGTACCTTCTAGTGCTCCCATGGAGCGCTTATTCAGCGTGGCTATGCACGTTCTGAGAAATTCTCGCAGCAGACTCAGTGACACCACTTTCGAAATGCAATTATTTTGCAAAATGAATAAAAATATTAATTAGCAGGTTATTTTCATTCATTTTCGAGTTTTAAGCATTTATTTAATACATTTTAAATAGATAATGCTGGATTTTATTATTGCGTTTTTCAATTTTCATTTTGAACTCAGTAATAATACATTTTTGTTTTAATAAATTTTTTACTAAATACATTTTTACCTAGTACATTTTTTACTAAAATTATTTTTATGCCCGACCTTATCAAGCAACGCACAGTCAAATCTCTAAGAACTTCAGAACTATTTGTGCTATTGAAAACTATTATTATTAGTATTTTAACTCTTGAAAACTCGAAGGTATTAATTTACCCGCTGATACTAAAATTCGTTTACAAATTTTAATTATTCCGTTAGGCAG